CTAATTTAATGTTAAAAACAAAGATAGAATCACAAAATATAATCAAACCCGGGTAAAGAACACTTACCCCCAACCAACACGTGAAAAACCCCTCAAAAATCGCTCAAATCCGAGGTCCTTAGCTCAAAAAGATGATAAATGGAACAAAACCCTCGATTTGGGAATTAATATATGTTGCCCAGGCATTTGCACATCGCGATCGCGGAAATACACATGCGATCGTGAAGAAGGAACAATAACTGTCCAATAAAATGCACTACACGATCGCGTAAACAACAGTGCAATCGCAAAAGGCAACGAACCAAAGCAGCGAGAACGCGCAACACCTTCCGCGATCGCGTAAGCCAACGAGCCTACCTCCTTCCACAGCACTACACGATCGCGATCTTCATGACGCGAACGCGACTTAGAAAAACAGCTATGCGAAGGCAAAGAGGAACCACCCCTCAGCACCCACAACACATCGCTATCGCGACAGCATACACGCGATCGCATAGAGTACCTAAAGCATCAGAAAACCAACAACTCTAAAGCATGACGAAATGGCCTGAAGCCCATCCGTAACACAGCCGGACCCCCGGGACCCCGTCCGAACATACCAACAAGTCCCATAATATAACGCGGACGTGCTCGAGGCCTTAAATCATATCAAACAACATCAAAACTATGAATCGCACCTCAAATCGAACTTAATGAACTTTCAACTTCTACAATTCACACCGAATCATATCAAATCAACCCGGAATGACGTCAAATTTTGCATGCAAGATCCAAATGACACAACGGAGCTACACCAACAGCCGAAATCAAAATCCGAACCCGATATCAACAAAGTCAACTCCCGGTCAAACCTCTCAACCTTCCAAACCTTCAACTTTTCCAATTTTTGCCAAATTGCATCAACTTAACCTACGGATCTCCAAATTCAAATTCGGACACGCCTAAGTCCAAAATCACCATATGAAACTATTAGAATCACCAAAAACCATTTCAAAGTTGTCTACATAAAAGTCAAACTCCGGTCAACTCTTTCCGCTTAAGCTTATAAAATAAGAATTATCCTTCTGAATCAATCCCGAATTATCCGAAAATCGAACCCGACCACACACGCAAGTCATAATACATAACACGAAGCTGCTCGAGACCTTAAGCCACCGAACAGGATGCTAGTTCTCAAAACGACCATTTGGGTCGTTACGTCCTCCCTCTCTTAAACAAATGTTCGTCCTTGAACTTGCCAGGAAGTGTTTCGAAGCCACGAAAATAACTAAATGAACTCACCATGCATATACTCACAGGTTATCCTACGTCACCCCAATCAATATAAGTTCGCCAACACCATCTCAACTGAAAATTACTCCGTCCACCCACACTGATAACCTTAGAACAAAATTTCACACCACTCGGTCATTTCCAAAAGATTCGATTCCATCATCAACACACGGTATCAGCCTATCCATCTGCAATAACTCATACCTGCACCCACAGGGTACAACCACACGATGTAACACATCCCACATATGCCCATAACAACATCTCTGACCACCATAACTGCCCATAATCAAATCCCACACTGGCAATTAACCTCAAAATAGCTAGAACCCCATTCCAAACATTCACAACACTAACAAAAATTCAAGAAACATAAAGATCCCATGAACATTCACTCAAATCAACAAGTCACATCTAACGCCGCCTGGGCACACACCTCGCAAGCTAAACCCAATAAGCACAACGCGAATAAGACTAAATATGCAAAGAGAAACACGTGAGAGAATTGTCGACAGGCATAACTCCCTATCAGTATCATACTACGAATCAATTCCTTAAGGGAGAATCAAAACATATGAACTAATCACGAGGATCCCATCCTAATATAACTCCACCGCAGCACGCAACCCAGTTCAAACATATCAAACCGCATGAAAATGCGAGGGTCTCACCCTCAACTCTGAATCACAAGTAGAATTCACATCATACTAGCAGAAACCTTACACTAATTCAATTCTGCAAAACAAAATCACAACACGTAACGGACTTCCCATACTAGTAGAACATCTAAATTACAAATTGCAACCAAACCATCCAGAAATCATATCAAACCCTACCGAAATGAGTAACGGAAAGTCCCTTCTAGCCTCAAAGCTCTCTATAGTGAACAAAACAAAATGATAGACACGGTCTACCACCATAGAATCTCCCAACATGGGTAAACACATAAGCAGAGTACAAAATCATAAAACTCACCCATATGTGAGGCATGATAGGAGGACTCACCTCGATAAGCAGAACAGAATCAAAATAAGGATAGTGCTCCTCTATAACAAATCGAAACCATACCTGCAATGATACCATCTAGTGTAGCGGCCTTAGCCCTGCCATAGAAAAAGTGTATCAATGGGTCGGGCCCCTAAGGCGCCCTCTACCCGCTTGTCCTCCATCCCTAACTAGCTGTGCAGGTGGAGTAGCAACTGGAATGGAGCTCGTAGCCTGAGTGCCCTGATGAAATCCACCCCTTCCGAGTCTAGGACAATCTCTCATGATGTGCCTAGTATCACCACACGTATAACAACCCCTATGCGGGCGTGGCCGCACGTACCAAGTCTGTGCCGGATAACTTGAATAATCATTGTAGGAACCCCGTGCCGGTGGTGCACTAAAAGATGACTACCACATATGAGTACCCTGACTAACTGGAGCACCACGAGTAGTTTGAAGTGTGAATTAGAGTGGCCGACTACCCGAGCCTCCACCATGATGGTCATTTCTGAAGAGTAGAATCAACTAAACCCTCCAGCACCTCGAAACCTCTTGGTCTCCTTATCCTCTATCTCCTCACCCCGAATATGCTCTAACATCCTAGCAATCTCCATCACCTGCTGAAATGAAGTATCAGTCTACAACTTCCGAGCCATGTAGAATTTAAGATCATAACTGAGCTCCTCAATGAATCTACGAACTCACTCTTTGACTGTTGGAACCAAAGTAGGTGCATGACGGGATAACTCACTGAACCTGATGGCATACTCTGACACCGTCATGGTTCCCTGACACAGCTGCTCGAACTATGTGCACCATGCATCCCGAAGGGTCTGGGGAGCAAACTCCCTCAAGAACATATCTAAAAACTGAGCCCAACTGGGTGGTGATGCATTGGCTGGTCTACCTTCCTCGTAAACCTGCCACCACTGATACGTTGCTCCCGATAATTGAAATGTAGTAAAAGCAACTTCGCTCACCTCCACAATACCCATGGTATGGAGAATAGGGTGACACTTCTCTAGAAATCCCTGTGCATCCTCGGTAGTTATACCACTGAAAGTAGGTGGACTATACCTCATGAACCTCTCAAGCCTCTTCCGCTCCTCCTCTAATGCCCCAGGCTAGACCTCAAGCTGAACCGGAATAACAGGCGATCGATGTTAGGCAAAGGAAAAGAGTCCTTAGGGCGTGCCTTGTTCAAGTCTTTGTAATCTATGCACATTCTTAAATTTTCCTTTTTAGGCACTACCACTACGTTAGCTAACCAGTCCGGGTATTTAACTTCCTGAATGGAACCTATTTTAAGGAGTTTAGATACCTCGTCTTTGATGAAGGCATGCTTGACTACGGACTGAGGCCTCCTCTTCTGTTTAACCGGGTGGAACTTCGGATCCAAACTCAGCTTGCGAGTGTTATCTCCGGCGATATCCCTGTCATATCAAGATGGGACGAGGAAAAACAAGATATGTTAATTTTAAGGAAACTAATGAGTTCTTTCCTAAGCCCAGGGGTCAACCCTATTCCCAGGTATACCTTTCGATCCGGCAGGTGTTCGGTCAATATAACTTGCTCCATTTCTTCGCCGTAGATTTGGTGGCGTCGGTATCATCAGGAGCTATGAACGATCTAGGAATTCTATAATCATCTTCCTCATCGACTTCCCATCCCTCCAGTACGGCCGTAATTGGTATTTAACTTCGGCCTTTTTGGCCGGCTCCTCGCTTTTTAACGTCGAAAGGGCAAGTACTGGGGCCTACTTCATATTGGGGCCTTGTGTCATTTTGATTCTTGTACATATATTTTAATTTGAGGTATAGTTGTGGCCTTGTTACCAGAAAATTCCATATTAATCTCTTGTTTACTTAGAGGTTTCGTAGACATGCTGTAGGATGTGTTTTGAAAGGGGGAAAAAAAAATTAAAAATATTGTTGTAGTTGTCGGATGTTTTCACGTCTAAATGTGAACTTGTAATCTTTTGGTAATTATTAATGAAGCTCCTGTAAGCAATGAAATATGATGTTGTACCTCTTATCCTCTCATTGCCTATCTCTTGTCTTTTATTCATGAATCACTCATGAGCAATGTTGGGCAATAGACATCAAGTAGGCTTACTTGACTGAGATATCTCTTGAGTTGAGCGTCGGTCCCGCTTCCCAAGATTGGGGCGTGACAATCTCTCTCTGAGTCAATGATTCACACCACTCCTTTCATGTGCCAGGTACAGGATTTAGAGGCGATCTGAGGTTAAGCGAGGGAAGATCACACTTGTTTCGTCGGTATACCCCTCAACATGTTGCACGTTTATATTTTAGTTTGAAGTTGTGAAATTTTTTTTCTGTGACTAATCATTGAATCTTGTTTTTCATACGTATGATTTTTATTCAGTTGAGAAAGATGATCTGTGACATGTGTAGAGTTGTGAGTTACTATGCATTCTTCGGCACGGTTCTTCGGTTCAAATACTCAAAAAGTAAATATCATCGTTGTTATATATTTTCCATAATTCCCCACACAGCATCTTCTTTCTCATTGTACTTTGAAGTCCTATTTTTCACCTAATTACGATATACTCTCGTGGTATCTTAAGTGATTGAAATGGCGATTAATCCAGCTTGGTTTACAACACAAACATAAAGAAAGAAAGAGATACTGTTAGCTACCTTGGGACGTAATCGTGAAAACCGTGCAAGCAATTCTTATTAGATTAAGAGGTATAAAGAGCATAGAACATGTAATGATGTAAAGCAAAACAGTGAAGCACTTATTATTAGATATAACGGCGAAATGTCTTAAATAAAACTATCCTTTTCCAGAATCAAATGTGTTTCTATTCGTAGACATACTCATCCGATGGACCCTGAACCCTCGAGCTTTTAACCACGGCCAACCCCAATATCAAAAAAGCAAACTCTACTAAAATCTGTAATATACAATCTCAAGATCTCAAAGCTAAGTATACATGACACAATATACATCTTCATCAAGCTCACACGATTTCAAACTCGAAAGAAAGCAAGAGCAACGTAATCACACCCTTGGAACTTGCTAAGTCTTGGCAAATTAAGAATAAATGCAAGTTTACTCTTGCATCAAAATAACTTCATTATTTCGAGAAGTAGGTTTTGGGAGAGAGGAGCCGACGAGGAGAAAGCATAACCAGAAATCTCGGAGAGGCAATTGCATCAATAGATCGACGGTTCGGACTATCAAACCCGTCCCCATCATGATCTCTCGGTATGTTGGGGCCATTGAAGGTGCTGCACCTAGCTAGCTTCCCAAACCAAGATTGCTTCTTAGGAGACTTGTCATGCAATCCGTTTATCTTTTCACACAAGTATTGCTTCACTGCATTTATTCCTTTCTCCACCACATCCGGTGGAGGAGAAACGAGACGGTTGCCTTCCACACTCAGCTTTTGGAGCTTCTTCAGACATCCAATGGAATCCGGTAACTCTGAGATCTTGTTGTAGCTAACATCTAATTCATGCAGGGAAATGAGAAACCCTACTGAATAGGGAAGATTTGTGAGGTACTGGAAATTTTGGCTAACGTTGAGGATTTCGAGGTTGATTAGGTTTTCGAGATCATCGGGGAGAGACCTCAAGCAGTTTAGCCTGGCATCTAATACACGAAGGTTGGTTAAGTGAGAGGTAGAGTAAGGAAGGTATGCTAGTTTATTTGAATTTACACAAAGCTTCTTGAGATTTATGAGCTCAAATCCAATGGTGTCTGGCAAATGAGTAAGCATGTTGAAGTTGGCAATCAACTCTTCCAACGATCTGTAAGAGAGAAGAAGAAAATATTAGGTCACGAGTATATAGTATTTTGCTTATAGCACCAGCGATAAATTATTTGTTGGAATAAATTCATAAAATTAAGTTAAGACTCTTCATGAAATATGCAGTACAAGGTTCAAAGAGGATAGGAGGAGAGACTTAAACATAAAGCACATTGATAATATTAAAAAAACCACACTAATAGAAACAACACATTAGACTCGCATATAAAAGTTGTCACATTAAGCACCTAGTTACTTGAACCATAGTCAATGAAACATTCTACGATGAATCCAAAACCACGCAAAGATGATACTCCATCATTCCTAATTTATATGATACTCTTATTTTTAGATAATCAAAAAAATAAAAGACATCTTTTATATTTAATAGTAGCAATTTAATTTTTAGCCTCCCATTTTATCCTTGATGTTTATAGCCACATAAATTTTTGTAGCTTATTTTAGATCATAAATATCAAAAATCTTTTTTCTATTTTAAACTTCGTTCCCAATCAATCTTTATCACATAAATTGGTACGAATGGAGCAACTCAAAAGATAATGAAGCTGAACACTTAATAATGTTGTTATATAACGAACCTGCAATTCTCAATAGTCTTAGGGAGCGACAGAAGGAGGTTTCCAGAAACATTGAGAACTTTGAGCTTTGAGAGACAGCCTATAGAGTTGGGAATGGACTTGAGCTCATTTGAATGCATATCTAACTCCACCAAGTTGAGCAGTCTGGCTGTTATAGATTCTGGTATACTCTACCCAAAATTAATCAATACAAGAGTATTAATTAGTCACAATCAGATAATAAAATAAACCTAGAATTAATAATCAAAAGTTGAACAAATATCATTGAATTCTTAATACGGATAAATTGGAAAAGTAATCCAGGTTTTATATAGGTAAAACGTCATTTTATTAAAAGATAAATATTACTAAAACTTCAAGATTTAATTTAATCAATTCAGATCGGAGAAGTTTTTGAACAATTTTAATTAAAACAAAACGTGCCCGAAATTTTCAAATTAAAATGAAAATTTATATTAAAAAATTATACTAACAATTTTATATTTTCTAGAAGTTACTACTCCCTCTGTTTCAATTTAGATAATACATTTCGCTTATCGAGAGTCAAACTGTGTGAAATTTGACCAACATTTTAAAATATATTTTTTCCTCATATTTATATGATTGAGAGAAAAAAATGCAACTTATAGTACTTTTCGTATAGTTATTGAATATTTAAATTTTAATTTTAAAATATTGAGTTGAACTAATTTTAATTTAGCCTCAAAATTTAAACAAATTGGCTCTCGATAAGTAAAATGTGTCATCTATTGAAACATAGTCAATAATATTTAGTTGATTTGAAAGTTTAGAAAACAAATACACCGTGGTAATATTATCTAATTTTCGGTTACAAACCTCCGTTGAGTGATTATTACGTTATTGAGAATGAGAGCTTCCGCTACAAATTGGTCAAGGTGAGCATTGAATGTCTTTTGCTCAAAAATCTCTTTATTTTACGGTATCAAAGTTGAAAACATTTGAACATCGAGTATACCTTAGGTTTTATTTTTTTCCGCAATACAAAAGTTAACTACATACTTAAAAAGAGACACAAATTAAAAGTATGATTAATCGGAATTGCTTATAATTAAATCAAAATTAGTAAAAGAAAATAATTTGTTGACTTTCAAATTCATTGTAATTTCTTTATATAAAATGGACAAAGGTAAAGTCACTATTTTCTTCGCATAAAAACAGAAGAAATTTAACATAATCAGACATGCAGAAAAAAGGAACCAAAAGCAATTGGAAAATGGAAGATACAAGGGGTGTGTTTAGTATGGAAAAATATTTTCCAGAAAATAAGTCATCCTTTAGTGTTTGTTTATCAGAAAAAAAAAATAGACTTTACTTGTTGGGTGGAAATTTTTCTTTTACAATTAACTCTAACTCTTAACTTCATATGACTACAGAAACTTAGAATTATCATATTTACTCAAAAAATGTATATTTGCTAACATATTATCAATCTTTAATTAGAAAAATCCAACAAATATTTTTCACTTTCCACCAAATTAAAAAAAGATATTTCTGAGAGAATATTTTCGGAAAATAACATTCATAGCACCAAACAACATGTAAATAATATTTTCGGACTAACCTGAAGATTATTTTTGGAGAGGTCCAATTTGCAGATAGCTCCCAAATTGATAGATGGATTGACGGGAAGAGACTCCATAGACATTCCACTTAGATCCACAATCTCAAGCCTTTCTTCTTCTTCATCTACTTCTTCTACGATAGTTATCGTACTTCTTCTACTTGTTGTTCTCCTACTCTTCCTTTCAAACGGTTGTTGTTTTCCAACTTCCATTCTCATTCGCATCTCTTGACTCTCATACAGCATCTTCAGACATTTGCATTTATGATTGAAATTCCAAATGACTTTTTATGTGTTAACTACTCCTCCTATTGTTTATTGGGAATTGAGACAAGTTGGGTTGTTAGTTGTGTGCGGTGACAGAAAGCAAAGAGAATAACACTTATAGGGAAGGGAGGTGCCCAAGCGCCGCCCGCGGAGAAAAAAAGGGATTTCTTTAATATAATATATGCCTTCTTTAGAGGGATGTCTTTGAATATTTTACACAAGTTCTTTTAGGGGAAAAAATCAAAGTCAATTATATACTCTGAGACCGTCTCTTATCCGATATTGTTTTTAAATTTTGACAAAAAAACAAAGTTTTAACTTGTTGTTAAAATTTATGAATTGTTTGTATAAGGGATTGTGTGATCGGAAACTTTTCTTCTTTGTTTTAATTTAATTAATCAAAAATAAAATGCATTGTTCTCATTTCATTCAACTTTCAAGGTTACAAAGACAAGTGCTATTCTCAATTGTTACTGAATTTGTTAAGGAGACGTGCGGCACATGTTGATTTGTGGATTATTAAAGAATTTAATATTAGGAAAAAAAAAAACTTTCACTTCTTTCACCATTTTTTTTTTAATTTAGGGGGTGTTTGGTTCATTAATTATATAGATTGTTGTGTGGCAAATAATAATATATGTATTTTTATATGATGCAAAATAATACAATGATCATTGTGACATTTGATAGGATGGTAGGAATGGGCTCGCTTAACGGGAGATTTCGAGTTTGATCTTTAAGAATAGCAATACTTAGAATAAGGTGTTTTACTTTTTTTAGTAGACCTTCTGTCACGACCCAAACCGATGGGCCGCGACGGGCACCCGGTACCTTACTCAATCGAGTACCAACGTAGTATCTTTCTTATTACATCATTATATACACGTGACATACAGGTCTAGTAGGCCAACATAATCATTTATAAACTCAAACATAGGCCGACAAGGCCGTACAATTTTTCACGTATACGACATATGTCTACAAGCCTCTAAGAATACATAAATGTCATAAAGGTCGGGATAGAGTCCCGCCATACCAAACAATACACGTCTAAATCATACTAACCAAACAAGCAACTCCGAAGCAAATGGAGCGCACCAACACCTTCGCTGAGCTGATAGCCTAATAGGAGGACTGTAAACCTATCAATCGGGACCTGCGGGCATGAAACGCAGCGTCCCCAGGCAAAAGGGACGTCAGTACAAATAAAGTACCGAGTATGTAAGGTAGGAAAGCATTGACAAGAACAGTAATGTAAAGAGAGATAGAGGAGCTACAACCTGTAACATCTGAGTGCCACTGGGGACTACCGACATGAAATGCATAATACATATATATACATAAACTTTTAAAAACATTCGCCTCTGTGGGCATCATCATCATCATATCGTACCCGGCCTCAAAGAGGACTCGGTAAAAAACGTATCCGGCCATCATAAGGCTCGGTAGAATCATACCCGGCCACGTGGAGCTCGGTAAACCCAACTGATCAGTGGTTGCACAATAGGTGCCATACCCGGCCGTCTATAGCGCAGCTCGGTAGAGTAAAATAGATACATATATATATATAATGCATGCTCGACTCATGGGATCACGTTCTAAACCTTTCGGAGTGACATAAGAACATTATGGACATACATACCCTTAATATGAACTTCACTAGGACTTACGGATCATACATACTTTCTTAGAATAACTTTGTAAGGAAAGAACAACATGGACAACCTTAGTTTCTAGGAGTAGATTCATTATGAAATAGCGTATTCATTTCACATTAGATCATGCCAAAAGAAAGAAGGAAGTGCCTTAACATACCTGTTCTTGGAATTATTCGAATGAAATGAAGCTTCTGCTTCAGTGAAATGTGTTGAACGAGATTTGATTGAATCCTTCGAATTTCTTGGAATGAAATTATTCTGCTTTTCACGTCTTGGTGTAGTTACCTTCTAACGTTTTTGAACAAAGGGATATCCAATGTTTCAAACCAAGGCAGAAGTCCCTAGCGTTGAAAAGAGCTAAGACTTTTTAAGTCTTATCTTTGTTAACTTTTGGCTTGGAATCAATGGCTTTAACGTTAAAGTCTGCTTTATATAAATTATCGAGATTCAGAACAAAATTGGTAGCTCTTTGAAATTGAAACGTTGGCTAAAAATTGAATTTGATGAACCAAAATGATTCTGCTTTCACGTTTTTGGTTCTTTAAAACCAAAGAATGCAAATGTTATTTGACTGTTAATGAAGGAAAATGTTTCTGCCTAACGTCTTTTGGCTTCTAAGCCGAAGGCTGAATTTTTGGGACTTTAAAGCCTTTACAAGGCATTCTTTCTAAGGATAAGATTTGAAAATCTTATCAGAATTAAGTTATGACCACATTAGCCACTTGGCAAATTGACTACTTAGTCATTTTCCAAATCTTGTGGCTTATTGACACGTGGGGTGGGGGGTTAGTTTAATAATTTATCCACTTATTAGTTGACTGGGTAATGTTCTGTTACCCGGTAATTAATCAATTACCTGCATAATTGAGAATTATTCCCACTTACTTGAAATATTACTCACTTTTCACATACCTTATACACCTTACTATTTTGGTCATGTGGTACCTTGTATGGTACTAGTCCATAAATACCGAGTATTATCGCTTGACCCGTATTTTATTTCAATTTGTCCATTTTCAACGAAACTCGTTTTCTTTAATTCGTGTACCCCTTTATCCTTCATAACACTTATTTATCGCTTGATATAAATAACGTAATACTTATAATCCCAAAATAAATCTCATTCCCAAATTTACGTCGATTAATCTTACGACGAGGCTTTAACGTATGACGACGCTTTAACATACGAAAATGCAAAATATAATATCTCATTTTTGGACTTTCATTACTTTATTTATGGCGTAAGTTCACGCATGAAAACCTGGGGTGTAACACCTTCCTAGTAGAATCCGAATTAATTAAGTTAGTGAATTTTGATGCCAAATACTTAAAGGAAAACAAAAAAAGAAAATCATATGTTATAAATAGTATTTTATTTATGATGAATGTCTATATTTTAGAGAGATTTTAGGGTTTGTTACTTGGTGGCTAAGTCACTTTTTTCCTATAAATAGAGGGTATCTATTCCATTATAATTGACTCCAAATCAATTAGAATTCTCTCTCCCTACTTTTCTCTTCGATACTCTTCTTCTCCTCTTTTTGTTTTATAACACGTTATCAGCACGAGACTCTAACCAATTGAGTAGAAGCTTTGGGATTGAGCATAACTTCCTTCATGATTAAATTCTGGATTTAAGATAAGTATTTTACTTTATTTTTTTCTTTTAAATTCTTGACATTCTATAATTCGATTTTTAATACAAGCAAAGACAATAAACTTTGATTGTAACTTAACTCTAATAGAGTTTGTAAGAAATTATAACCGCCCAAAGTGGTAAAATTTCTATGCCTTGCCATGATCAAATTCATGTATGATTGTGGGCAAAGAATTAGAAACTCGTCCCATTGAATTTGCTTCATTCTCATTCCCTTAAGAGAATGTGATAGCAATATGTATTAAGTCTGAAAAAAGACAAAATTATTGTCGTGAAGGTATCAATAGATGAGGACGTGGCAATAGACGAAATTATAATCGTCATCATTTTGGTAATGAGAATAATAAGGATTCTCAAAATAATCCTTCACTTTGTGAAAATAATATTTGTCATCGATTTGACGTGAAATTTTGTAATGCACATATAGATGAATATGGTTCATTCATGATTTGAATGTGACAACGTGTGATTTATGAATACATATTCATTCTTGGAAGAATATGAACGTTCTAGTGGTGGTGAATATACCACGCTCACCTCTAGAATAAGGTTTGAGGGGAAATAAGAAAATAATGTCATTATTATGGCATGAATGATCATTAGTCATATATCTATTGTACGCCAAAATATTTTGGCGATGTGATTATTAAAGGGCAAAAGCAATGCAAGGAACAGATCTTATATAGAATTCTGACCATAACCATAATGGTATAACTTTCTCTTTAAAAGAGATATTCACCATATGGATGTTGATTAATATGTGGTAGTACCAAATTAATTGAGAGCTCTGGAAGAGTCAATTATTACTATTTTAGAGGAGTAAAATTGATTATCAATAAGGCATTCTGTTGTAGTAAGTCTCAAAGGAGCTTAATTGAGTTTCTAAAGTATTCGCCAAAGCGGTTGGTTATATTGAGACTATAAATAAAGGAAAGAATTAATATCTTCTATTACTACAACTTGTAGCGAGGTAACATGTATGTGAAAAGTTACCCGTTTTATTCTCCAGCTTGCACGATATAAATAAAAGAATACAACAATAAAGTGAATGTTTATTGATATAAAAACCCATATCATAATAAATTTGGAGTTTATTGATAATTGCACATGTCATGGTGTAAACCCGAACTTTATCAATATTGATAATTTATTCAGTTGGCATAATTGGTTTAGCCATGTTAATTTAAGTATGATGTGCAAAAATAAAAGAGAATTCACATGGTTAAATATTAACGAACTAGAAAATTCTGTACGAATTCTCTTATTTTGTTCTCATGAATTAATAGACCAATTAAAATTGGGATTGAATCCCATGAATGCTGGAAATATCAAAAGTGAATATGGGCACATTCACCTGTCATGTCTACCACAGATGCATCTATGAGATGGTTACATGTACGTTTATTATTAACCCGCAACCCGGCCGGTATTTGCGAGGTAACTTGCTCAATAATTTGATTTAGAGCATAATTTCCTAATCTTTTACTCAAGACAGTTCATCTTGATAAGTTGGTTTACATCACCGTTGATTTAGCAAAATAATTTATTGAGTGCCTCCACTTAATAGCTAAATTATTGCTTATGAAAACAAAGTTATCTATATCAGTTTGATATAGGTTATATACGAAAGTATATTACATTCTCCCCTCACAAGTAGTTCAGGGTCAGGAACCAAATAATTTCATCTTATTATTATTGATGTGCGATGTATATTTTGATTAACACCATAACACACAAAGGTGAATTTCCAAAATTGAGGAACCAAGTTAGTTTTTCTAACATGAGGGGGAG